GGCTTACAAACTTTTGGACACTGATTTTAAGATAAGACCATAAAGCATTTCAGAGATTTCTTCAGAAACAGACCTGCAGATGAAGAGTACTGACCTAGGATTGCCAAGGAAGGTGGGAGGAGGATGGGGAAGGAGGTATTCAGAGTTTATGATTAGCAGATGCAAACTATTATATATAGAATGGATAAATAAAGTATTACGGTATAGCACAGGGAACTATATTCAATATTCTGTGATTACCCATAATGGGAAATAATATGAAAAAGAATGTCTATATATACACACACATATATATAAACAACTGAATCACTTTGCTGTACAGAAGAAATTAACACAACATTATAGATCAACTATACTTCAATAAAATAAATTTTTAAAAAAATTAAAATTATTTTAAAAAAAAGTTTCTCTTCTTCCTTCTCTTTTCAACAAACTCTGGGCATTTCCCGCAAGTTCAGTGAACAGCTCACATGACAATGTTTTCACTCTCTCCTCAGAAAAGTGACCTCTTTCAGGAGTTTTATGGATCACCCTCTTTAGACAGATACCACTTATTTCTCTCCTGATCTGACAGTTCCTTTGAATGTGTATCATTTTCTGAGAGGGTAGGAAGAAAATTGGTGTGAGGAAATCATAAAGGAAGAAATTTCAGTTCCGTAACAGAAGACACTTTCAATACCTGGAGTAACAAGCAGTGGACAACACAGTCCGTTTTCTGAGCCGGAGGGGCTGGAGTTACCCTAGCAAAGGCAGCCATCTTGCCTGAATGAATGGAAAAGGCGATGGGAACTGCAAGGGTAAAAACCCCAGATAACAGGCACATAAAAGCAAGCCATGGTCTAGGTCACAGAGAGACAGGGTGAGGAGGTGTCATCTGTCATGAAGAAAAGCCAAGTAAAGATGTCATAAAAAGAGGAACTTAAATATCAGGTATGCGTGTGTGCTTAGTCATGTCTGATTCTTTGCAACCCCATGGACTATAGCCTGCCACACTCATCTGTCCATGGAATTTTCCAGGCAAGAATACTGCAGTAGGTTGCCATTTCCTCCTCTAAGGGACATTCTAGACCCAGGGATCCAGCCCACATCTCTGTGTCTCTTGCATTGGCAGGTGGATTCTTTACCAACTATACCAGCTGGCAAGCCCCAGAAATGTCAGGCACCTGAACTCAAAGCCATCAGGCATCAGCAGGTAAGTCCCTGAGGAGCTAAAGGAAGTCTACCGGACAACTCAGCTATTTGCACAAGAGCTTCCCACAAGGGCAACGTTTTGTCTGATGGTATACTAAAAGCACCACTTGGCATCCAGCAACAGACCTGCTGATATCAACCTTATATTTAAAATAATAACAAACACCTGCAATGATTTCAGAATATTCTTTAAAATACTCTGAATTCTTATTCTTGTTACTTTACTACCTAAAAATCCAATCCACCATCTGAAAATTAAGATGTTAATTAACCATCAAAGTTCCGTTAAATTGAAATTGTTTCCAAGAATCCTTCCTGCATGTCTCTAGTCATAGTTAAATTTATTTCCCCCACCCTGTACCACAACATAAGACTTAGATTGTGCTTCTGATCAAAGCATGATGACTAAGTAATAATTTACCACGAAACAGCTTAGTTTAGAAGTTGTGTATATATGCATCTCCCTAGTTGGAATCAGAGGTTGTAACTCATCCATCCCTTAGCCATCAAAATTGCCTCAACTATAACAGCTACCCATAAACATTCTGTTACATTGGAAAAAAAAAATTAGGAGATTCAAACAACAGAAAGCACTCAAGTTATGATCTCTAATTCCCTTACAAGTCTGAAATTCTATCACATATTCTCTTTTTCAAAATACTCTAAACAACACTCTACACCTGCCCATTGGATGGCTAAAATAGGAAGTAATTATCAACTGTGGCATCAAGTCAAACAAAGCTAACAGTCCCACGGTTGAGACTCAGGACATTAGACCAATGATGCCAAGCCCTACGCCCTTGTGTATATGTCTGACATATAGAAAGTATTCAGTTTATCATGAATGGATGAAAACCAAACAAATGAAGGAAGTGACTGTAAATGGTCACCCAAGCCTTACAGGCAACTGAGCTCCAACTGATTCTTACATAAAAAAGAAAATTTCTCACTGACTTTTCAAGATTCATCTTTTCCCATAACACGAGAACTCTTAAAAAAAGAATGCTTGACACTAAATATTCACCTTTTACAAAGGGAAAATTAAAAAAAAAAAAATTACAGCCTTCTATCAGAAATCTGGAGAGAAGAAAAATGCCAATACCACCTCGTCTTTCCAAACAAAGGCATGTTACCTGTTCCTTTGAACCTCAGATCCTTGAGAGGCCCAAAGCAAAATCATGTGCTCAATCAGTGGAAGGGCAGATCAGGAGACAAGATTTCTCAAAAGAGATCTGCCAGAAACTACAGAAACCACATCTTCTTGGATCTCAGTTTCCCCGTTTGCAAAGAGAGGAAAGTAATTCATTCAGCAAGTACTTGAATAGGCTGTAACCAGATGCCTGGCACCAGGATTGGACTCAATGATCTCTTAGGTCCCTTTCAGCTCTGAAAATCTTATAATTCTTATAGTCACACTTAGTAGAGGTACTTTTGGCTCTGACCTGAAAATTTGGCTGGAAACATAAACAGACTTCTACACAAAAACACACATTTACCAGCTATAATTTCAACTTGACAACAGGAGTTTTCACCATCAGCCGAGAGAAAAAAGTGCAAAATTTTCTCTGGTGATTCCATTACTCTAAGCTCCACTGTAGCTCAAGTATGATGTTGGGGCAAATATGGCCAGAGTGGGGCCAAGCCACTTATCACACCACACACCACCACACAAGGAAAAGACACGCCTGCCTTCTTTTGAGCTTGCCGACAATCTTCCATATATTCAAGAACACGCCTTTCTCACCAGATCTGCCCTTTTCCACTTGACAAACTCTGTTTTATTTTTTATCCTTCTTCCTTCTGTCTTACAGAGAATATAAGCCAACATGGCAACAGGCTCTTTGTTTATTTCTTTCTTTTTCAAAAACAAAGTCACAGTTTGGATATAGTTAGCAGGACAAGATCCATATAGAAAAAGGCTTTTGTAACTTATGAAAGCCCCATGTTCAAATTTTTCTCAATGAAACCCTTTGACAAACCTTATTATTATTCCTGCCTTTGTTATTTTTATATGGTGGCCATTATAACATCAAAATATCTGTACAATCATTATAATTTAGTACTTTCTAATCCATCTGTATTTCATTCAATTATTAGAGACAGATATACAGTTATCTTATTTTTAATTAAGAGGAAAAGGGCCTTAGGGTGACCCACTCAAGATCATGGGACAAGAATAAGCTGTCCAACTAGTATCAAATACAAGTCTTCTACAAAGTCAAGCAAACTTCAGAACTCAGGATTTTAAATGCTTACAAAATGGTTACATAATTATTCAAGACAGAATATAAACTCAGTAAAGTCTTAAAGTGTTCAACTGTATAAGTAAAACAATATGCAAAGAACAGCTCTTAGTAACACATAAATTTCATAAGGGTAGAGCCCTGTCTGTCTTTTTTTGCTATAGAATCCCTAGTGTTATAAAGGTATGCACACAGCACCCAGAAATTTTTGTTGAATGAATGAATCACATCTACCTTTGTCTCCCCCAGAATGAAATTTAGGAGAGAGTCATATAATGAACTGAACTAGTTAAGCAGTTACTTTTTATGGCTTTTCCTCTTTACAATTTATTGTGAGAAACCTTAAACATATACAAAGACAGAACAAATAATGAATTAAATCTCCCTACATCCAACAATTATCAATTCAGAACTAACATTTCCTCACCTGTATTCGAACTCAGTAGCTCCCTACTCTTATGATTTGTCTTTTTTTTATTGGAGTGCAGTTGATCTGCACTGTCGTGTTAGTTTCAGTTGTATAGCGAAGTGTGTCAGTATACATATACATATATCTAACATCCCAACAGTGCTGTACTGAATATGGCTAGTCATATACATGTACATATACACTATACATATACCTAACATCCCAACAGTGCTGTACTGAATATGGCTAGCCATACACATATACATATACAGTATACATATACATATATCTAGCATCCCAACAGTATTGTACTGAATATGGCTAGCCATACACATATACAAATACAGTATACATATCCATATATTTTTAGAGTCTTTTGATTTTAAAGCAAATGCCAGGCACTATTCCATATCACTCACCAATCTTGCTGACATTTCTCTAAAAAATAAGGAATTTTTTCTTTTATATATCTGTAGTAACATCACCATCCCTAAAATTATGATATAAATACTATATGACATTATTATTTCATTTTCCTTCCTGAGATAACTGGTATTTAACTGCTTAAACAGTGGCAGTTGGTCACCAGTAGCCCTGTGTGATCACAGGCTGAGAACTTTCATTGTTGCTTCTGACTCCAAACCTGGGTCACTATGCAGTGCTGAAGCATATTACTTCCAAACAGTCAATTCTGACCTCATTCAGAAGAGAAAACCCTAAGAATTGTTGCTGTTGCTTTTGCTAGAAAGATGCTGCTGGCCAATTAGTACCCACAGTGACTAACAGAACTTTAAAATACCAGTCTTACTCATTTAGAAAGCAAATGTCAGTGGATACAGAACAAAGGCAATAAAAAGCATGGTTGTGTGTCCCCAGGATAACAAGAAAAAGTGAAATTCTCAGATGGCATTCCTAAAGAATGGCTTTCAGTTTCGAAATAAAATTAGTAGGTAAAAGGATTTCCAGGGCTTCAGTGTATAAGCCAGCAGAACTCTGAGAATCTCGAACTGGGCAGTTGGCATTAATGTGCCTTAGTGCTTTGTGAGATATCAAACTCACTGTAGGCTCTGGATAAGTATTTATTTGCCACAGAAACAACCTCAGAATTCACGATTCCTAGCAGTACTTACAAACATGACTTCAACCACAGATCTTACCTGTCCCCTGAAAGCACCATCATCAAGGGGAGGGGGAGGAGGGAAGTTTCCGGAGCCTGATGGAATAGCACTGGAATCATCGAGAGGTGGAGGTGGGGGTGGAAGAAAATCACCTACAGAAAAGAAATACACATGAAGTTAACATGGGTGTAATTTTACAGAACTCTTTTTACAAAACACAGACAGCCCACAACTTATGATGGTTCCACCTATAAGTATTTGACTTTGCCATGGTGCAAAAGCAACAGGCATTCAATAGGAAATGTACTTTGAATTTTGGTCTATTTCGGGCTAGGCATATGCAGCACAGTACTGTTGGGATGCTAGGCAGGGCAGCAAACAGCTCCCAGTCAGGCAGGTGATGGCCAGGGTGAACAATCAATATACTTACAGCCATTCTGTACCCTCATAACCATTGTGTTTTTCACTTTCAGTACAGTGTCCAGTAAATGACCTAACATACTTAACATTTTATTATAAAATAGGCTTTGTGTTAAATGATTTTGTCCAATCATATGCTAAATGTAAGTGTTCTGGGCATACTGAAGGTAGGTGAGGCTAAGTTATGATGTTTGGTAGGTTAGGTGCATTAAATGCATGTTCCACTTAACAATATTTCCAACTTTTAGTGGGCTTTTCAGGATGTAATCCCATCATAATTAGAGGAAGATTTGTATTAGCTGGTATCTGACTGCTTTGTAATTGGCTTTGACACATATTTTTTTGTCCTACATAGCAATTATTCCCTATCTTACTTCTCCTCAGTTTAATCAGTAGTCTTAACTGTCAGAAGAATGATGACCAGATGTAACACATAGAAGTGATGTAACGCTAGAGTAGAAGGATCAGGTACATTCAGCCAGGGCAGGCAAGTTGCTTGGGGTGGTGGATTACTGAAGTGTATGAGATGTGTTGTTTGTTCTCAATATATTTTCAATCAACTAGAGGAGGAAATAAAATGTATAAATAGGTAAGATATACAAGATGCAATTTATTAAGAATCTACAGGCAAACTCTTCTGAAATTTAAGATAAAGGAAAGTTCAGTTTGAGGAACAAGGAATCTATGCTGGCCAGATGGCTCAGTGGTAAAGAATCCACCTGCCAATGCAGCAGATGAAGGAGACATGGGTTCAATCCCTGGGTTGGGAATATCCCCTGGAGCAACCCACTCCAGTATTCCTACCTGGAAAATCCCATGGACAGAGGAGTCTGATGGGCTATAATCCATGGGAACAGCTGAGCGCTCACACACACATGCACACACAAGAGAGACTTCCCCTGCAGTCCAATGATTAAGACCCTGCACTTCCAATGCAGGAGGCGCAAGTACAAGTCCTGGTCCTAGAACTAAGATCTCATGTGCCACATGGCACAAAAAATATATACAAATAAATAAAAATAAATAAATTGTCAATGAACATTATGATGTACAGCATAAGTTCATGCTAGGCAGAACGAAAGGAAAATAAAAGTATAAAGGTTAGAAAAAATTAGGGCCCAGAAAATAAAGAGCAAATTATAATATAGCATAAAGGTAGGAATGTAAAGAACATTGTGATGTGCTGCACTTAGTTGCTCAGTTGTGTCCAACTCTTTGTTACCCCATGGACTGTAACCCATCAAGCTCCTCTGTCCATGGGGATTCTTCAGGGAAAAATACTGGAGTGGGTGGCTATGCTCTCCTCCAGGGCATTTTCCCAACCCAGGGATCAAACCCAGGTCTCCTGCATTGTAGGCAGATTCTTTTACCATCTAAGCCACCAGAGAAGTTCAAGAATATTGGAGTGGGTAGCCTATCCCTTCTCCATGGGATCTTCCAGACCTAGGAATTGAACCGGGGTCTCCTGCATTGCAGGTGGACCTGCATAGCAGCTAAGCCATGAGGGAAGCCTGTAAATAAGAGAAGTAAGTCATAAAAATTGGAGCAGTATGAAAATAAGCTTTTAAGTGTGTTCCGCAACTAAGAGTTTGAATTTTATCATGCATGCAGTAAGGATCCATTAAGGATTTCTGAGAAGGAAACACTTCTAAGGATGTGATTTACTAAAGACTAATCTTAAAGTGTGTGCAGGACAGATTGGGAGAAATTGTAATAAGAAACATCCAATTTGGAGAGCTATGTACTATCCAGGCTTTAGGATACTAGAAATCCAACATCACTACGGGTTAATGGTATAGAATGTTTTTAAATACTTTTTGCAAGAACTTATATTAAAAAAAGAAAGCTTTCATTTTCAAAAAAAATTATTTATATGTCCTTTTCCTTATAAAAATGACCTTTTTGAATATTGGGGAACTGTCTCTCCTCAATAGGCAAACAGCTTTTCCTTGCATTTCAGCTGTTCAACACTCACTGATAGATGATCGTTCCGACCACTCAATGAATTGCTGTTGGATAGCACCAAAACATCACAACTTAGGTCTTTCGAAAAAGAAGAATCTAAATCTCACAGTGGAAGGATGGTGACATGGACTGGTTGTCCTGATACACCTTTAAGATTGTTCACTTGAGCTCCATCTGCCTTACAAATAATAGTCTTACATAGAAAACAGATTTGTGGTTGCCAAGGTGGGGGAGGTGGGAGAGAGAGGGGTTGGGAGTTTAGGACTGGCAGATGCAAGCTATTATATATGGAATGGATAGTGATCAAGGTCCTACTGTATAGCACAGGGAACTATATTCAATATCTTGTGATAAACCACAATGGAAAAGAATATGAAAAAGAAGGCACATTATATGTATAATTCAATCATTGTGCTATACTGCAGAAATGAACACGTTGTAAATCAACGATACTTCAATGACATAATTTTTTAAAAAGTAACAGTCTTAGAGTTGGAAGAGTAGCTAACAGCTGTCAAGTCTATCTACCACCATATTCAGGCAACCAAGATGTCAAACACACTATCTTTAGAGTACTCTGATTTGGGGGCTCTCACTACACACCAGGCACTGTGCTAAGATTTTCCTAAGCTACCTCTTATTTCCAAAACAACTCTCTAGGTTGATGACTTTGAGACTTTAGAGCTCACTAGTATCTCTGCAAGGGCTGGTTAAAACACAGATTGCTGGGTGCCACCCCTGGAAATTCTGACTCAGTAGATCTGGGTCAGGGTCTGATAATTTGCATTCTTAATAAATCCCCAGGTGATGCTAGTGCTACTAGTCCTGGGACCACACTTGGAGAAGTATTGCATTAAACAAAGTGTCAAATTATTTCTACTTCAGACCCTACAGAAATGAGTTCAATGGCATGTCTTATAGAAGCATCCGTATTTCTCTTACCTGCCTAAGTGTACATATCTGGAGATATAATTTGTCTATATCCTTAGTAAAATTATATGTCTCAAAAACATTTATTAACCCCATCCAATAGTTCTATATTTGGCTAGATACTAGAATCACCTAGGAATCTTACCTAAAAATGCTGATGCCCAAGCTCTATCTCATACCAATGTACTCAGGATCTCGGGGATGGGGAATAGAAATGGGAAGGAAGGGTCAGATACCCATATTCCTTTAAAACTCAGATAATTCTCATATGTAGTCAGGACTGAGAAAGAAACTCTCCGGCCTTCATGTGGCCAGACAGTGCCCTAAAAGAAATATTTAAGACCTCTCAAGTAAAAAGAATTGTCACCAAGTTGATTTCCACCATTAAAAAATCATCACATATGAGACTAAAGCGCATAATAAAGTACAGAGTGATCAGTAAAGAAGTTCAAGTTGATGGAGACCAAGATACTTTCCACCATTAAAAAATCATCACATATGAGACTAAAGCCCATAATAAAGTACTGAGTGATCAGTAAAGAAGTTCAAGTTGATGGAGACTTGATGACCAAATTCTATTTCACATCTTAATTTTCAGATTCAATGTTTTATCTGGACCTATATCTTCTTCATACTCAATTTAAAAGAGGATTTCTGAGCACCTTGTTTCTGTCAGAGGAATTAAATATAGTGAGGCACACACTGATGAGATTCTGGGAGAGTGAAAAGCAACCAAAAAGAAAATAGAATTTGTTTGTGTAAAGAATAATCTTTGTAAACAACATAAATCCAGACCATAGCAAGATTAGGCAGACTGTTAAAGCCATAGTGAAAATCTCATAATAATTTTCTGCTTATTTTGATGAGTTATTAAGTTAGACCAAAATTTTCCATTTTTCAAGCTCAATTATTGGAGTTTCCCATTATATTCTTTAAAGTGGAGCTCACAGTTTAAAAGTATGTGTTTGTCAGATTCAGTTGCTAAATTGTATCCAATTGTTTTGCAATCCTCCTCTGTCCATGGGATTTCTCAGGCAAGAATACTGAATTGGGTTGCCATTTCCTCCTCCAGGGGATCTTCTGGACCTAGGGATCAAACCTGCATCTCCTATGGTTCCTACATCAGCAGATTCTTTGCCACTAAGCCACCAAAAGGATGTGGAGGAATGGGGAAATGTCTAGAAAACAGATATACACATGACAAAGGGATAGAAAGGGGATCCTTTGAAGGGAAGCATAACTAATTATGCTTAACTAGTTAAGATAGCTGGAATGGAAAACTCCTAGTAACTATTCTAAAATAGACTTAGAACTCATGAGTATTCTGACTTAAGGTTCACTCACCATTTTAACAGGTAAGTCAACAAAAGGAAACTCCTCTAAACTGCAGTCAGAATAATTTCGGCTGAAGAGAAAAGACACAATGTCCATGTATAAGGAAGGTGGCAAATGAAAAGAAACAGATAAGTGTATACAATGTAGGGGGATCATTTCCTTCCCAGTAGATTTCTTCAAACATTGAAAGAGCATTTGGCTGACATGCTTGGGGCCAGAGGTGGTAGAGGTGGTGGTGATCCTCTTAGAGAAAAGCAGCTGGACAGAATCCACTGCAAGCGCCTTCCAACCAGAAATACTAAGCTATCGACCTTCACATCAGTGCATCCCCTGTCCTCTGGGCTTGCTGGGGAAATTCAAGTGTACTCCCAGACCCTGTGAATTACAGGGGCATTGAATAAATCAAACACGCAAGTTAAAAGGGGAAAAAAGGACACATGTTAGGCAAATGGGAAATGTATGGTACATAAAACCTAAGAAAGAAACATGCGGTTTTATAAGA